CTCGATCCGAGAGGAGTCGGGGAAAGTGCGTGTACGCTGGTTGATTAATTATTGCAAAATTTGCAATATCGCGCGCTTTGACGTCAAATACGACGTCGCGATTGAGCACCGTTTGCAATCGACGAGGGAGGGGAAGGAAAAAAAAAGTAGAACGACGAGTTGCCTCCGCGTCGATGGATAGCGATGAGGGAGAGAGACCGGGAGGATGGTGAGAGGTCTCCACCATCCGAACACAGTTAGCCGGCCCTGATGCTGCTTCTTCGATCGGCGGCTCCATTTTCGACCGGTCGAGAGATCGAGATCTTGTTTTCTCCCGCGGCTTCCCCGGCTCAGTCCCTGCCAATCCTCTCGAGTGTTTTTTTCCTCACAATCGTATTTTTCACGCGACTGCGTGCAAGCGCGAGTTTGTTACTTAAAAAAAAAAAAACAAACGTATTTTCTAATTCAAACGATTACAAACAACAAAGAAACATGATCGGAGTTTGGGAAGGTCGGTGTTAAATTGATCGCGCAACAAACTGTTTTTTTTTTTTCGTTTTGCAACTCGTCTCGTAAGAGGACAATTTATTTGTTTTAATCCGAGCACACAGTGTGTGTTTAATAACTACGACGGTAATACTGGATGAAAAATTAAGCAATTGCGTGCTGCATCGTGAAAACGCGCGCGGCTTTTATTTATGTATCTTGATATTGCGGTCTTCGGCTCCGACTCTTCTTTCGTGGACGTGGAGAGTGGGTGTTCGTGGCCTCTGGATAGAGAGGTTGAGCACCTCGCGATCCACCGTTGAAAGAAAAGTAGGATGGTTCTATAAAACAGTTAGATGGCCCTGATGTTAGCAAATCACACCAGTGCCTACATTGGTTGCCGCGATATTGTACATGCGGTTTTTCAGAAGACTCGAAGTGACTCATAATCTCGTTGACGAATCGCGTCTTATCCGGAGACAAGTTTGTTTTTTAATTTTTTTTATAGATCAGTAACGCGCACGCTGCAGATTTAGAAATCTCGTCATCGTTCTCGTCTGCTAGGTTGATTCGCAAATGAAAATGTAAAAGCGTAATGTTTTTTAAAATACTTTCTCGCGGTTTCCGATAGGATCGCGGCTTGTACGTTCTGTCGCATTTTGAACGTTAGGCGAGCGAAAGATCTTCGTTCCTCGAGGAATGGTTGACCTCTGACCTCCACGCCTCCGCCTTCGCTTCGTGCCGCTTCGAGGAACGATTCTGTGATGCGCGGCCGCAGATAGAGTTTCTAGGATACGGCGAAGAAACTCTCGCGGAGAGACAACAAACGCCCAGCGTCTATCTTTTAGCAAGTGGAGCATCTCGAAGGTGCCAGAGATACACCAACTTCTTACCGAACCTTCCGCTATCTTGTCGTGAATCGTAAAAGGAGTTTCTCGCCTCAGAATCTAAAGCTGTGCGACGAGGGTCGGTCTTTCGTTTTGAGAGAGACTCCAAGTTTGGGGAAGAGAGTTTCAAATTAGACGATCGGGACCCGTCTGTTTTGTATCGCGTGCTACATAAAATGGCCGCTGACGAAATAAACCGTCTTTATGAGGGCAGTTCTTGCAAAGTGAGAGACAAGCGCACGTGAAGAAAAAGAAGTTTGTTTCGGTCCTTTCGCGGCGAGAAAACTGCTTTCGTCTCCTTCGCGAGGCGATCACGAAACCCGTCCGGTTGCTTTAAAGCGTCTCTCTTATGTCATCGCTCCCATAAGTCTTCGAATCTTTCTGGTCCCAGATGCGACTCCCAAATGAATCCGGGGAGGACTTGCCGATATATATAAAGCGAATCGACTGCATCAGATCGCGCGATTTGTCAAAATTGATTTGACGTGAGCGCGTTCTCTAGCTTATCAATTCCTTAAACGTAAACGTTTTGTTCTTGTACAGTCAAGCAGCGATTTTGCATCGTCCCTTCTTTAAAAAAATCCACCTGTAACCATCTCGATTCTTTAACGATGTTTCATTAATAAATAAAAAAAAAAAAAAAAAAAGAGACGCGCTTGTAAACGCAACTAATATGAGTTTCGAAAATTTCTCACGTGCTCGCGGGAGATTTTAGGGCCGCGCCAGCTCGCAGAAGGGAACGGTAGTTCCGTGGGGAGATCATGGCCGACGGATTTTGAAGCAGAACCTCCACGCGGGCAGAACGCGGAACGCACGGAGGCCCCGAGAACCGGCCTTATTGATTTTCGAGAACCTTCCGGCGAGAGACCCGCGTCGGTTCATACATATATATATATTATATATACACATATACAGACACACACACACATCGCGTCGAGCAATTCCAGACCCTCCCCTTCGTTCCTCGTCAAGTTTTCGAGAAGGGTCACCCCGTATATTTGAATATACGGCACCCTTCCGCGCGCAGCCCTCAGGCCGATTTGCACGTTCAACATATTTCGCTCGCCGCTCGTTCGTTTCCCTTCCCTCGCGCCACGAATATTATAAATGAGCCGTTTCGCTTCGAACGCGGTGTTATTCGAGCTGCTTGCAGTGTCGCCAAAGTGTGTTGAAAAAACACCGAAAACAATTGTTTCGAACATATCATTTTTTTTCGCAACGTCAGTCTGAGTCTCCGCTCATGTCTTTGTGCGCTCGTTACTTCGTTGCGCTCCGATATTTATCAAATAACGTCATTGTTAAGCAAAGTATTGATGTTTTCGGCAGATGTAAACGGCCGCGAAAAATCATGATTCGCGAATTCAGCGTTTTCACGCGTATGCGTTTTCACACACACACACACACACAGACAGACACGCGCAACCACACATGTGCGGTGACTCGCGGAAACGGAAGCGGTCGATCGAGGTATCGCGACGAGCGATAAAGCGCACCGCTATAGACGTCAATTGCAAAATTAACCAGTTCTGCGACAAACGACATTTAAGCCCTTCGGCGTGATATTTTCGCTGTTATGTATTTAGCGAGTTCCTTTGTGCGACCGCGCGGTTTTGCGGAAGTTTGCAGCCTCGGCAGCCCGGTTTAATGCGCTTAGAGTTTAATTTATCGAATTTCTCTCTGTGCAACGAGCTGCAACAAGTTCGCTTTGCGCGCGAACTTGCGGGAACGTCTGCGCGATCTTGAAAAAAAAAAAAAAAACAAACAAAAAGAAAAAAAACCAAAAAACAAAAAAAACACGATTTCAACGCAGCACCGCGATGCAAATTCCCACGACACGGGAGGGGAAATTCACGTGGCCGGTGGCTCGCGCTCGGGGAACGAAAACCAGCGGCCACGATAATCCAGGGCTTATCGATCGTCATTCAGTTGCCAACTTGGCAGTGGCGAAACTCCCGGAATTACGAATGAAATGCTCCACATAGCGACGCGGTTGGCAAATCAGATCCGCTTTCATACCTTTACGAGGGAGGATGCGTCGGATTCCGATGCAAACTCCTCCCCTCTTTCCTCTTCCAGAACCAAACGTTTCGCGTTCGAAAATATTCGCGAAAATATCAACTTTGAGAGAAGATGCTCTTTCCCTTTGCCATAAAAAAAAAACTCTAATTTGCGTATTATTACGAGCGCGGGTATACACTTTGTTAGGACCACGGTTATGTTCATACGCGGCGGTCGGCGCGCACACAGGCGCCGCGACGGGAATAATAGTAAGCGAATAAAATTATTTTCTCATCGACCCTCTCTCGTCGTCCATCTCGCGATTGAACCGCGTACAGAAAGGGTACAAAACTTGCATCATCAAAGGATTACGCGAGAAGGGTCCGGCGGGGTGGAAACTTTTTTTTTCTTTGTTGGCTCTCGCGTTGTGTTCGAGTTTCAGGCTGAATCTCTTTCTTTCTTTCTTTCTTTCTTTCTTTCTTTCTCTCTCTCTCTCTCTCTCTCTCTCTCTCTCTCTCTATCTATCTCTCTCTTTCTCTCTCTCAGGTGCGGGATAAAGTGGTTTTCGGTGCCCGCTGCCCCGATGGCGTTCGTCACACATAGCGCGCGCTGTATGGTATTGTAATCTACGCGCTTTGCAGCAGACATTAGTTCCCTGCTTGTTCGTTCCCTCATTCGGGTTTATATACTTGAAGACCCGTGGTATATCAGTGGTGCTCACAGGCGCGAGAGAGCTGACGCGGGAATTAGACGCGTGACAGAGAATAAGACCCAACTTGGTTTCGGATTCGTAAGCCGTAAAAGCGGACGAGGCGCGCTATCCCTCGGGGTAGGCTTTGGATTAATATCTTTTATTCACAGAAATTTCGAGTACTAAACAGTATTTAACAACATCACATCGACGAGTAATTAACGACAAATTACTTTTCATTTGCAAAGACACAAGTTCGAAGACTGTTAGAGGAAAATTTATATATCCAGAAAGAAAGAGAGATATTACATGTAATTTAGCTCGAGTGTATATTTGGAGTCACAATCGATGGCAATTCCACGCTCTAATCCAAACTTTTTATTCAAAATGAATTTATGCACTGCGTCTTGAATAAAAAGTTAGCTATAAAAAGAACATCTAATATTTTTAGAACACCTTATATATATATCTCAAATTTACAAATTTTTGTTTCGAAGCAGAAAAATATAAAAATATTGTACCTTTACACAATACGTACACACACCGCAGAGAAGAGAGAACTGAGATACCGACAAAAAAAACGAATTCGCAACCAAGTATTGGGATCGTGTCCTTACACGACTGGCGACAACAATATCGTTCAAAAGAAATTATTTTGCATGCACAATGTGATTATAAATTATGTACATACATTGTGTTTAAGTAGATGTAACGCGCTCTCTCTCACAACAAGCGGCGGGTGCACGCTCGAAATGTCGATTCTCTCGCGCGGCCGACGTCGCGTTCGAGGGATCGATGCTTAATTTGAGCGTCACTGGCGCACGCAGACGACCCCTATTCGGAACGCAGCTGCGGCCGCCGCGCAAACGCAACGCGCAGAGCGCGATCACGTGACGAGGCGTCGCGGTGGGCGCCGTCGTAGCGCGATTGGACAGCGGCGGAGTACTAATCCCCCATCCGGCGTCAGCCGAACAAAGAGACGAGGCTACCTCATCCGTTGTCACGTACGCTGCCATTAGAAAGTTGTTGGTAGTCGTTGTGTGCGGGAGTTCCGCGAGTTGGATCGGTCGAGAAAGAAAGAGAAGGAACGAAAAGGATCGTAAAACTGTTCGGATATCGAGAATCGCGAGAAAATAATTTGTCAAGACGCGTTGTTTTGAGAAGAGAAAGAGAGAGACTTCGAAGGAAGGTTTTTGATCGGGAAAATCCAAAAAATCGCGAACAATCGGCGAGTCTGATCGGTCGGAAAAATCGCGTGTAAATTTGTCAGAAATCAGAATCGGTGCGAAACGGAGTGCGACGAGACGACGCGACGACTACGAACGAACGAACGTGAGAGCAGCCGAGGTGTTTCGCAGCAAACGAAGAGAGAAGAGAAGCGTTTGAGAAAGGACGCGCCGACGCTTCGCTCCGAGGGAAATCGATCCTCGCGTACACCTGTAACTGTGCGCCGGGTCGCATCGCCGTCGACGGGGAATCCTCGAGGGACCCAACGGTGGTTAAAGCTCGTCGCGCTGGAGGGTCGACGACGTTCGACGAGTGCTGTAGAGTGCTACGCAGCGACGTGGCGACGACGCCATTTTGTGCTGACTGGCAGTGTCCGCTTCCCTCGGCATCATCAACGCCGTTGGACCTACTCGTCGCCGTGTCGTGACCCGTGACACGCGCGTATCTTCGAGATCGCGTTCGCATTGTGGAACACACAAAAGGACGTTGGAGCGCTTTCAGGGCTCCGGGGCCTTGGGTCGCAACAAGCAGCGAGGAGGGAGTGACGAGAAGAGAAAATAAAGACTGCGTATTCAAGACGGAGTACGTCGTCGGCTGCGTGACTCCAATCGCGCGTATCCCACCGTAGCGTTTTGTCCTTGATCCATCATCGTTTCAATCAACTTCGCCCTGGGTCTTCACCGATCATGAGACTGGAAATTGTGTCGGCGGCGGATTTTCTGGTGCACTTGCTGCGCCTGCAGGCGGGACAGCTGTCGGGACAGCTGTCGGAACGGCAACTGGAGATGTTCAAGTCATCCCTGACGGAGGTGCTGCGCCACCGTTACCGGGATCACTGGTTTCCGGACCGGCCGAATCGAGGTTCCGGTTATCGTTGTATACGCATCAACGGTAAAATGGATCCAGTGATCGCTCAGGCCGGCGCGAACGTCGGTCTGCTGCCGACGGTACTTCATAGCCTGTTCCCGAGCGAGCTCACCATGTGGATCGACCCGTCGGAGGTGTCGTACAGGATCGGCGAGAACGGCTCCATCTGCGTGTTGTACGAACGCACCGAACCCGAAAATCCGGAAGAGATCTCTCAGCAACAGCATCATCTACAACATCAACATCATCATCCGACGCAGCAGCAGACGTCGTCGACGCTTCCGCAGCAGCAGCAGCAGCAGCAGTTCGAGAGCTGCAAAGACTCTCTGCTGTTGGAGCACACGCAGTTCAGCGAGCAGATCGCGGCGTTCGTCTCCAGCTGAATTGTCGGCGGGCCCCCAGTCCGCTTCTTCGCGTCCACGCTCTCGAAGTAAACGTTTAAAATAACGCACGTGCATCTCGTCGTGATATGTGATATCCTCCAACGCGTCGTGACGTCGCGGACCGAGCAGGTCCGTGAGCGCTCAACTTTTTCGTGACCCCCCCCGAAACGCGTCCACTTCCTCCCCCCATTGCGTTTCTCTTCTCTTCTCTTCTTTTCTATTATCCTTTTTTTTCTTTTCCTTTTTTCCTTTCGGTGCACTGTGAGTCTCAAGCTACGGTCTCTTTGTCGCCGTATCTTCCGTCTCTCTTTCCGTCTCCTTGAACAAAAAACGGGGGATTTTGTCATCCGATTCCCGAGAACGATGATTTCAACAAACCGCCCTCTTCGAAACGAGTTTCTCGCCAGGGAGAGTCCAACTTTCGGGAGCGCGAGAGTCCATTTTTCACTTGCGTCGGTCGTCTCGAGCGATCGTCTAGTCCATTCTCGCGCTTTTTCCCGATTCTCGAAGACGAGCACACGTTTTCGACTAGTCCAAGCGCGACTTGGTCACGCAACTACCGGAACGCGAACGAATAAGACGAAACAACAAGGATGATCCGGAAGAAGAAGAAGCGCGGACTAGTCAATTTTCTTCGAGTCTGTTCGGTTCGAGAATCATCTCGTCGCTCGCTCTGCCATCAGCGAGTTCACGCCGGAAAAGAGCGGCGGTACATCCGTCGCCAGGAAGAATAAAGGAGCGAAAGATCTCGCAGCAGCCGACTAATTGATCTCAAGCACCTCCTCCACCCGCGTAAACCTCCGAGTATGTCTCCCGTGACAACAGCCGCCACGCGAGGGAGGAACAACGAAGACCAGCCAGCCTCATCGCCCCTCCGTATATTACGTTCCCGAGGAAGTAAAGAAAACCGTGTTTACACATGTACACACACACATCAGACATACACACACGCACACACAGAACACAAACCTCTTTGTCTCTCGCATTTCCCTCAACGATCAGCGTCTTTCTTCCACGTACTTCGTCACTTCGGATTTCGAGTTAAGGTTCGTACGATTGGCAGGTGTTTGCAAGCATGTTCAGACGCGTGATGAAGCCAAAACACCGCACGTTACAATTGGTCGTAAATAATTTTTGGCACACGGACAAGTGTGTCGGCATCTCTTCTCCCACATAATTCTATTCCATTTCGTTGAGTGATATCTAGGGTTCGCAGATGAAATAAGTAAAAATTCATTACACGTGTCGGAAGTTGTTTAAATACGCGACTTCAATTTTTGTAATAAACGTATTTCGTTTCTGTGCAGTTTGCCCCGTCGGCGGCACGTTCTTAAAATTGAAAGTCACAAATTATCGAATGTAGAACTTTTTCGAAACCTCGCACTGTCAGTACAGATTTTACCACCGAGCTTCACACGCAGAAACACACACACACAACACGTACACACACGGTAATACACGTTAACACGAAAATAAAAGACCGAAATCGTATCAGTGTTGATTTATCAGAGTTTGTCCTTCGTTAACGTAAATAATACGCGACGTATTTGTGTAAATTTTGTGGAATTTCGATTTTCTGGAAAAATCGATATATATATGTATATGTATGTATATCTCATGTCGAATCGCGAGATTCTTGCGCGCTAACGAAGGTACAAAATTTAATACTTTTGCGCGAAACCTTCTATTTTTTCGAGAGCGGCTCTCGAGGGAAAATCTCACGAATTTCACAGTTTTTCGGTAGCAATTCTCGACGGTAGAAATCTCAAAGTGGAAGTTTTTTGCGTACATTTTAACGACACACACACACACACACACACACGTATTCATTTCACACGCAGACATAATACACGTACAAATTTCACGAAAGTGCGCGAATTTTTATGTACATAGATATATATATATAAATATATATAGACGTTATGTATATGTAGAGTACACCGTATGTACACGCGCGGCGACGAGGATGAGAAGTGGGCGAAGCAAAATCGCGTCGTTCGTCCCCGGGCCTGTACACGAAACCCGACGAATTGTATATTATCTTTTGCGTGTGAGGAAAAATTGAAGAAGAAAGCAAGAAAGAAAACGCGCGACAGTGTATAGAATTTAAATGTGATTTTATCCACGGGAGAGAAGGCGCACGACGGACGGTCTCATTATGGAGAGTTCAAGTCTCGGAAAGTGTATATCGCTCGATAGTGTAGCGTTATAATTGGTATGTTTCACGGATATTTTTCGAGAGTAGTCGTGAATAATTTTGTGTGCGTGTGTAAGAAAGAGAGAGAGAGAGAACGTGTGTGTGTGTGTGTGTGAACGATTGAGAGAGAGAGAGAGAGAGAGAAAGAGATTGAACGCGTGTATGCTGCGATCACCCGGTATATTCGCTCAAACAATAATAATCGAGTCCGCTCGATTAGTCACGTGTCCGCTTCGTGCTCGTCGAGATTTGTTTCAATTACCGTTACTTTTTGCGACATCACGATCGAGGACGTAGCGAACAAACAAAATCCGCCCTACGAACAATTTCTCGATTTTTGATCTTTTTTTTTACACACAAAATTCAGATTGAAGGTTTCGTCATATTTCTGAAGATTTCCGTCGAATTTGTTTTCCGAGCGTGAAAATATGAGAGTTTCTGCACGATAGAGGAACGAACGCTTGCGAAAGATCGAATGAACAGTTCGAAAGGAAGAGAAAGAATGTGAAAAAAAGGTTCTGTACGTAGCAATTATAGAAGAAACCATGTCTGTGATTATACTAAGAATAGCGAGACAATATAAGCAATCTCCATATGTACCGAAAAACACGACCTAAAAAAAAACACGAGCGGTGCGTGTGCGCTTTACATACCGACATACATAAAAATGGTACATATATGTATTATAACGTATATACACACATACACATACAAATTTTATCCACGGACGTTCGCGCGCGCACGCGCGCGTCTTGCGCTTTTAATCGAGTCGTTGCTTTTCATTTGTTGTCAAGCGCTTCGAAAATTTCGGCACTTTGCATTCTATACGATCGCGAACGTTTGCGTTGTTTTCTCTTGTCTGCCTACTCGTGGATTTTTTTTATTGAAAAACAAAATTTAAGTTTTCACAGGGACGTGAATTGTGCAATGAAATCTGGTCACGAGGCGCGACGATTCGTTTAAAACCGCTGAGACGCCCTTGCGAAAAGCAGACGAGAACAAAAAAACCATCCTCACCTCATTTGTAATAAACTTCTCGATACTTCGGTTTTGACGTTTTACAGCCGTGAAGAGAGAGGAGGCGCATGTGTTCCGTCGTACAGTAACCACGTGTTTTCACCGTCGTAATTGATGAATAATAGATCGATAAATGAAAAAATCAACTTTTCGTTTTGGACGTCAGAACCGAAGGCAATCATCGCTTTACTATACATAGCGTCGCCGAAGACGTAGATGATTCGTAGAGAGAATGTATCATTTTCGTTTCTAACGTATCCGGAGTGAAGCGAACATACCGTATATTTGTATTTATATATATATATATATATATACATACTTATATATATAAATATGTATATCGATTGTCCGTACGACCGTAGAGCGTATGCACCATGCGATCTTTGATTATCTGTCGAAAGTAGTGCGCGATGAGGCCGAAGAGAAAGTATGAGAGAGCCGGGCGACGGCGAGATCTCTCTCACCACCACCGCTGTCGTTCCGCGAGGATGTTTCGCTGACATGAAGAAACACGTTCCTTTTTCCCTTTGCTTCTTGATTTTTTTGTTTTGGTAATGTAGTTTTCGCGGTCTTTTGTCTGAACGCGGGATCGAGAAGGGCGCGCTCGTTAGAGAAGACTATATTCGCGTAAACACTTGTGTCGTACATCCGTTCTCACACAAACACGTAGACGAGATTAAAAGTATTCACAAGCGCTTAAGGGAGAGAGAGAGAGAGTGAGTGTGAGAGTGAGTGAGTGAGAAAGAGAGGAGAGAGAGAGAGTGCGAAAAGATGAGAGAAAGTGAAAGAGAGAAGAATGGAGAGTGAGATAAAAGGAATGCGAGCATTTACTTCGCGAATCAATTGTAATTAATATATATACGCGCATGTGTTATACATATACTTATATACATATATATATATACATCTTGTAATTATACATACATATATATATATATATTTATATATATATATATATATATATAGAAATCTTCAGGAAGAATTTGTACAAACCCGCTGGAATAATGCGCCAGCAAGTCTGTGATTTTAGCTTGGTTACTAATTCAGTATTTTTTTAAATAAAACGAGACAAAATCAAGATAAATTATATAAAAAAAAAAAGAGGCATGATTCGGTCCGAGAGCGAGCGATGGAGAGAAAGTTTATGAAAGAGAGATCGCGCGTGTGACGTAGGTGTAGGAGAGGGCGCGCGTGTGTGTGTGTGTGTGATCTCGCGCGCGCGAGATTTAGGAGCGATATATAGCGTGGCAGGAGGGGAAGGGAAATCTTGCAGTTCGCGCAATGAAATTTGTCTAAAAATATTCTGGAAAAATTGATCTCCGAGCGACTTTTCCGCGATTTCGCTCGAAGAAAACACACACGGTGTGGCGTGTGTTTTTCAACATCGTTGTAACTTTTTTTCCGAGACAACGTGCAATTACAGATAATTACTCGAGTCGCAATAGTGTTACTGACGTGGCAACGTGCTCGATCAGGTGACGCTGGAGCGTTGACATATCTCGTTAAAAAGATTGTCGCGATAAAGGAGACACTTTTCTCGTCTTTTAGTATCATCGATGTCAACGTTAGTCAGCATTTATCGTAGTCAATAATGTTTCTTTACTTTTTTTTTTGCTTTTAATACACTTCGGTGACGCGCGATATAAGACAAAAAAATCCATTGGGTCACGGTTGGAGTCAACTGACGCAAAACTTGATTGCGATTTGTTGTGTCGAGAGAGCGAGAAAGAAAAAATAACGTGCGATATTTTTTTCCAAGTTTGCACCTTGTGTTTGTTGCGAAATTATTATTGTTGCGTCAGTCTTTAATTTGCATGATTGAATTAAATCGTAGTCGGGTAATCGTTATCGATAAATCTTCTGGTGTAAAGTCCGTTTTCAGGAAATCGAACGTATCGTGTCACGCTCGTATATCTTTCATCGTGATCGCAGTCGCGGTATCGATTGCACGTACCATTTTTTTATGTTTTTTCCGGGATTTTTCTTCCTCTTCCAAGCCGTGCATATAAGGAAGACTCGCGAGAGAAAAACGAAACCTCAAGGGCCGGTTCTTTGTCGAGTTACTTTTTCTTTCTTCGGAAACAAAACAATTGCTTTTTTTTTTTCGTTTATCGTGGATCATCCGGAGATGAGGGTGGGATTGTGTGAGAGTGAGATAACAGCGCGAATGCAGCGGGAGATTGAAGGATGTGTTACGAGAGCGAGAGAGAGAGAGAGAGGAAGATGATGTGAAAAAATAAAAGCTGCATGGAAGAAATTGAATGTAAAAGAGAGAAAAAAAGAGAGCGTGATAGGGCGATCTGGCAGGATTACTCAATTCGGAAAATCCGCGGGTACCCCTTGTGTAATAATAATAATAAAAAAATAAATTTGTACAAAAATTACACATATAAAATTGTGATGACGAATTATTTATTCAATATCGATAATATATATATATATAAACATATGATGAATATAAATTTTATTCGGCATTTTCGCGGACTGCACATCGAATAAAAAAGAGAGAGAGAGAGAGAGATCCGAATTCGGCAAACCTGCCAGCTCTGATGCAACTGTGCGGGGAGAACGAAAGGAGAGCGCGAAAAAATAAAAATAAAAAACTGAAAAAAAAAGAACAAACCAACAAAAAGATCCAATCGTTTCTACGCGTTGACTGCGAGCGAGACGCCACTCGATATGAATTTTCTGTATAAAATTCGCTTTACAAGTCTACACGCATGTTCACGAGTAACAAACATACACACAAACACATGAGACACTTACCACATATACACACCCAAGTCGTAGAACACACATTGTACGCGCGACACAAACATACTACATTATACACACTCTTTGTACACACATACACATTACATAGACACATACACATTATACTCGAAAATCTGTAGACTCTGTAGGGGTTTACTATTAATTAATAATGGATTATATATATATTATATCTATATTATATCAGTGTATAATTATATTTAGTTTTTAGGTTTACATGATGGCTATTATTTCCCGCTTGTACATATATGCCGTGAATTCCAGTAAAAAAATTAAATCTTTAACAAAGAAAATCTATAATTTTTTCGACTGTTTTTGTACAGAGATAATAAAAACAAAAGGCCTCGTGCTTATGAAAATTTCATGAATATAAGAAAAAAATACGTGTGTTTTGTCAGTCACTTCGCTACCCACATTATCCCGATCATCGTCGTCGTCGTCGTCATCATCACGCTGAGCGTTGTTTGCAACAATTAGTTTTGTTGCAATCTAGAAAAAAATATATACGTGGAAGTTTTTTTTTTCGCACTAATTTGCGCATTAGCGTAATTGGCTGTGAATATTAACGAGAGCGACGTTTTTCAGATAAGTCAACTTTTAAACTTTCTACACTCGTTTCGATTCGTGTATACGCGAAAGTATTGACGGAGCGCGCAATAAGCTTTCGCAAACACGTGAATATTTAATCAAGAGATTTAAACAACCGTTTGCGCCAACTTCCTAGAATTATTCGAGGTGTTTAGTCGCGTCATATCTCTGCGTGTTTGCTAAATAAATTTCATTAAAAAAAAAAAAAAAAAAAATCAAACATCACGTACGCGACGTACGTTGATTTTAAGAACAGCGAGCGCTGAATATGGACAACACACATTGACGATGTGTGATTCCGAAGGCAGAGCGCGCGAGTTGATTTGCATTTACGCAAAGCAAAACACACACTCGCGAAAGGAAATGTAAGTGGTAAGCGTAATTCTCGTTTTTCCTCGATACATAAGAGACGAGAGAACAACTCGTGAGAGAAATGCTCCTTCGATCGTGCTCCGAAATGCTCGACGCAATCTTCGTTCTTGGAAGCGCGCTCGGGGGATAATTTGAGCGAACACGTAGCTCCGTTGTGAATCACTGCCTCTCCTCTCAGGTGGGAGAAAGAGAGAGAGAAAGAGTTATCTCTTGTTGCTGAAATACTACTGCCAAACATTCTGCGAACGAGTCGATAAGAATAGTCTTATCAAACTACTTATCGCATAGCGAATGGAAAAAGAATATTCATCATGCAGAGAGAATCGAACGCAATAGAATATTACTTTTGACGGTTAATTAATCGAGCGACATTTTGGTGACACTCGAAGTAACAATTAAACGTTTAAAAGATAGCAATTAGTCTCTTATTAATGAAATAATAGGTTTTCTCTCTCTCTCTTGTACGTCCAATCAATATCGAAAGGTCATATAGAACGAAGTTGAGCGTTAAATAATCTTGCAAGTTTTTATTTTATTTTATTTATTTATTTATTACTGTGTGCAAAAACTACTCTAGTACCAAGACAAAACGTACAATTTATTAGAAATTTTAACAATATTTTCGCCCGAGGATTCGCGTGTTTGTTTTGCTCGCAGAGGCCCTTGGTTTCACCTTATTATTGCGTTAGCCGAGGAGTTATTGTCGAGTCATTATTGTCCAAGTCGCGTTTCTTAATCACTCGAGTCAAATATCAGTCGGAACGTTCACAAATGTGTCTCGTTTCGTATTTAGTAACTTACCGACCCCATTTTGTTATCAGCGAACCGGCCTGGCGGTGTTGATCTCGCCGCACAGTGAAAGATAAATCGCTCTTTCCTATCGATTTACTTATTTAGATCGATACCGATCCTAAAATAAACCTGATTTAGAAGGTAACCAGTGAGTGACAAACTGATATTGTGCGTGTTTCGCTACTGAAATTAGAAAAAAAAGAAAAGGAGAATTAGACGCGAAGCTAATTGACGCTATTTGCCCAACAATAATTGCCGATCGTTAGTCGTCGATCTAATCGCATTGTCGCAACGAGGACGATTGGCGAATAAATTTGAGCTGAGATCGCTGGAGTTGCCGCAATCTGTTCGTATCACTTGAATTGAACAGTCGATGATTTTGCAGGTCAGATGTGCACATTGAACTCACTGTGAAGCTACTCTCTCTCTTTCTCCACATCCGTCACGATTTTCTTATACATGTACATTCTGTAGGATGGGAAAACGTTAATGGACCGCCTAAAGGGCGCGCGTTGCAGTTTCGCAATACGTGCCGGTCGTCGTCGCGTTCGAGCGCGCGACTTGGTTCAACAACCCGATCGGGAATTCTTAAGGTTTCTCGGGGCCTTTGCTCGACACGATGTGGGACAGATAGGAGAGAGATGACGAAGAAATCGGAGCGTGCGAAACGACAAGGAATTATTGCGCTCGAGGAAGAGCCAGCCAGCCGTCGGAGTAGGGAATCGTCGCCACCGCCAGTCACTGATGATGGTTGTCGTGGAGGTCAACGTCGGTTGTTGCTCCCTGACGTCGCTTGGCCCGCTCGTTGGTTGAAGCGGCCTTCTTGTAGGTTAGAATTGCTGATTCTGTACAGCGCGAACTTCTCTTCCTCCGCTTCTCTCTCTCTCTCTTTTCTTTCTACTCGAACCGTCTGTCTTTCCCGCCCTATTCTCCTCTGTCAATCTTCTTTCCGCGCAACTTGTTCACCGAGAGAGCTAGTTCTTCATCGAGACTACTTAGGTTTTTTTGCCAACCGCAACACCATTCGACAACATTGCGTAATGCTCTGGAAAGATCGCCGGTTGACTAATTTGCGAGCTCGAAGCGCGACACGTTGTGTCGGTGAACGTCGTCGCGATCTTCTGAGTCATTAGAAGATCGCGGACTATCACCGCGGGCGAAAGGATGGCGTCGCGCGATCCCGGGTGCTTACCAGCTTCGGTTCGGCGCAGACAGACAGACGTTTGCCTCTTATTGTTTCACCGACCGTCGAAGTTACAGTTTTTCGAACAAGAAGAGCGTTTCTCGAGCGCGCTCGTCAAAGAACCTTTTTTGCGAGTCTCTGCTCTCGTCGGCGCGGATTCTCATTCTCGCTGTTTCGCTCATTTCAAAGGCGCGTCTTAATTGCGCTTATCGATTGGCGCGGCGAAGAGAACAAGGTCTTTCTTTCTTGTCCGCGCGCGTTCGATCCCCGCTTTTCTTTTCCTCCTCAGTTCGGTCACACGCTCCGCCTCTTATCATCGAACAACGAGCCGCCGCCGCCGCCGCTTTTTTTTTTCTTTCTTTCTTTCTTTTTCCCGTCGCATTTTCCCTGCCTCGTGGGACGCGGCGCATTGTCCTACGTCGAGTGCACTCCGTCCCGCAACGTCGTCGTTTTCTTGCGCACCGTCAGAGAACGCGCGCGCGCGCTCGGCAAAATTGCCGAGTTCGCCAGCCACTCCAGACGATCGTCGTCTCTCTTCGGGATTAGAACCGAAGAGAGTAGAGCCACTCTCGAGCATTTCAAAATTTCCGGATATCGATTCGACGGACTATTTGTTGTGAGCATTGCGCCGAGGTTTTTTTTTTTTTTTCACAAGAAGATTACAGCAGCGAGTCTCCGGTTTATTTATACATTACGGAAGGGGATATATTTATCGCAAACTTATACTTCACGCGCTATAGTTCTGTGTGTTACACACCGGCAAAATTGAAAAGTTTTAATTAGCTCGCCCGGGTACTTACTGGTTAATCGGCCCGGCGAACACGGCCGCTTTATAGTCCCCGGGAAGTTTGGTCCGCCCGCGGACATTAAACGCGGCGTTTCCAATTACGCCGGTGCATCCCGGTCGTTGTGTGTGTATGTGTGTGTGTGTATGCGTGCGCGCAAAACCCACCTCCGTTGATCTGTTCGGAGTTTCGCAAGCCGGCCGGTCGTTAACCTTACGCGAAAATGGATAAGACGATTCGGTGCTGGCAACGGTCGCCGGGCACTTATAGACGCGAACGTACACACAAGTGTTATTAAAGACGCCGCGCGAAATGTTATCCAAATATACTAATCTCTGCTATTAATATCGGGAATTTTATACGAGACGCAACGCTAAAAGTTTCAACGCGTCGCGATTTTCGCGAAAAAAAACAACTTTTGTGTTTCGAGTCGTTCGCTGATAAGCGCTCGAACATTGTAACGTTGCGGAACATCGTCACGGGACGCGCGCGCGCGTGTGTGTGTGTGTGTGTGTGTGAGCGCGCGTTAAAACACGTATCCTTCTGAGCTTATGACGAGGCGTGTATAATGAGATAACCGGCCTTGTAACGAGATTATCGCGCTACTGGCTTTTCTAAGGTAGCTGTCGGCCGACGACAAGGGACAATTATCAGGAGGAGGCACGTTAGCGCGTCCCGAGACCAAGTTCAGCGCACGACGCGTGATGGGGAGAAAAGACATTTGATCGACGAAAGCTAAATTGCCTATAAATAACGTTTCACCGAAACGGGAAATAAAAAAAAAAAAACACTTAGTCGACAAAAGTTTACATCGCGAATAAACAACGTCTCGATCGAGCGAACTTTCTCACGTAGAAACCGTGACCGATGAATTTATTTCTCCGAATATTTTTTAAAACGCGAAACAGATGCGAATAACAAAAGTCGGTTTAAAGTTCAAGGTGCGATTTTTTCCGGCCAAACTGGATTGAGCGAAGCTACGGACGGTATTTTCGAGACGCACTCGCGTCGTGTGTAATTTTTGCCGATTATCACCGGATTCTTCGCCTCGTAATTTATTTTGCGATCGAGATGCTGTTAGGATGTAATTTGCGATAATCTCTCTCTCTCTCTCTCGCGCGCACGCACACACACACATCGATATTCTCAAATGACACACAGTGACTCAGAGTCGACCAATTCAAATGTCAAATCTGTCCACGTGTATTTTAAATAATGACGTCAGAGGAACAAAGCAAGTAATCAAATATATATATCTCATATATCGACATAATTACGTGTCAAAATTAATTTTAGAATAAACAGTTGCGAAATCGCGCTCGGTCCTGTCTGATTCGAACAAACGCGTTAAAACACGCAAATAAATCGAAAGGTGTTTTCATAAGCTTCCGAAAGTTCGTTTTTTCTTTTTTTATTGACTATATAAATGACTTCATCGTATGTGACTCATCGTTTCGTGTCTCTATTATGTATGGTGTGTACAAGCCGCAAGTGGACTGTGATCGTATGATAGTCGTGGAGCAAAAAAATCTGCGACGTAGAAGCGAGCGAGCGAATTCTCATGAGTTCACGAAGCGCGACCGATCGGCAATACCGGCGGTGTCTTTTTCCGCGCGCGGCTCGACGATTCTTCCAGAAATTGTTCGACCGTCAGATTTGACAGCTCGGAGTATTTGATTGCGCGTTCGCAGGCTTCTCACACTGGAGAATAATTTCGCAGGCTTGTCAAACATCACTTTGCGTTATTGCGTCGTAACGCGCGATGGTGTTTGACAAGTCCTGTGTGTAATATTCACATTGTCTGTCGACCAATACAAACACACGTGCAATAATATACGTCGTTTACGCGTAATGAGTACGAGAGAAAAAAATATTTTCACAAATTTATTCATTTTTGCTCGCACCACGTGTGTCCAAGACAAAAAGAAGTAAAATACAATTCTCTAAAGGATTTTTGCTCGAGGCGAAAACAACGCGAGGACGATTTCGCGCAATCAAACGTTCTTGGAAAGTTTATTTCTTTGTCTTTTGTAACGCGTGTTGTAAAACACATTGTTTCAAAAAATACTTCAAGGAACGTTTTATGAAAAAAAAAGTCGTGCGTTGTTATTCACAACGGAAAAGTTTACTCATCGGAACGCAGTCAGCGTCGCTTAACGGTGAATAATAAACCGATGTATAATGTTATTGAAATTTACTGTGGAAGGTTTGCGATAACTCTGTAAACTCAAACAATATTTTCCTCTTGACGAATACGAAACGGTCGAATACGAAGTGAGATTGTACTATTTTACATATTACTTTTCAAATTCAGCGTTTAATTTTCTGTTGAGAGACTACGTCGATGTCTGCAACTTTGCGTTTAACTGACGTTTCTTGCAATTGTGTGGTCAGTGACAGCGCGGATAATTACATCACCGGGCGACAGAAACGCTTCGAACGCGCTTTAAAAGCGGGTATCTAAGTGTGAGAAATTCGTACTACTGAATAAGGAACTTACGTAACGCAGCGCCGAGGTGTAAATACATACACGCGCGCGCGGTTATTTTACACAAATATCTTTCGTAAATATAAACGCGCGAGAGAGAAAGTGTTCGCCACGGCTGACCCTTTCATTAGCATTGTACGTGTGCGATAATACGTCATCGCCTTCAATCTCGAGCATGGCTGCCAACTTGCGCGCCGAAGAATAAAGAACGAATTGCTCAACTCTCGCGTATTTTTTATATATACTCGCCTTCGACAACTCAAACTTCTTGCCGATCGTTTTGATCCTGTAAGATCCTAAGAGTGGAAAAAAGGTGGTTTTTCAGATATCGAAAGTGGGTCGATACCGGGAGCGACTATTCGGGATCGCGCGATCTCCGTTGCGAAATTCACAAGCGTGTCGCGCGCGCGCGGATTGCTCAATCTCCCGATCGATAGCGAATCGAAATCGACCGATTTGAATTTCCGCAATGTAAAACGTTGCGCGCACGATGTAAAACGTGGCCTTTGCTCGACTTTCACCGAGAGAGGCGAGCGATCAATTTTTCGTCTCGGATCGCTAAAGCCGATCGGCAAAGTCGAAGAAATGTCATGGCTGCGCAAATCTTGACCGATTTTTGATATGTCTCTCGCACGGTCGCGCGAGTCGGTGCGAGTTACGTCACACGAACTTATCCGCTTGACAAAACCTTGCAGAAAATATAATTTGTTGTTTTTGTTTTTCTTCATAAATAAATTTGTCTTTTTGTAACGACCAATGTCTTTGCAGATTTGTCGATGAATAAGATGAAAACCGATGAGGAACGTCACTCGGAAGCTGCCGCTGCGCATCCTTCCGAATCGTCGTCTGTCCGTAGGACCGGAAATCCGGAGGGAGAGTCGTCGTTTGATTCGTCCGAGACAAGTCTGCCGCCTTTTCCAGCAAAGAACGTAGTTTACAAAGGAGAGGGAAACGCCAACATCGTCATCGCATTGCCACACGTAAGTCGATAATCGCGCGCGCACACACACATCTCTTCTATTATATTTTATCTCACGTATCTTTTCATGCCGATGAACAATTTTTTTGCGTAAGTATTTTCTAACCGAGACTTCTGGATTCGTGTTCAAAGACTCCGGTAATCCCCGAGCATCGTTTTCTCTCTCTATTTTTGTTCGCCGTCCTCTCTTCGCGTGCTTCGTCGGCGAACCCTCAGGAATCACTTCCTCGAACATCTCTCCGCGATTCCGGCTTTGATACAAAGACGAAATCCTGAATAAGCTCAACTTCCACAGCGCGATATGCCTCGCGTCTCTCTGGTGAAATCCATTACCGAACTCCTTCCGAACGTACAAACTTCGTCGGTCGATCTTCTTTAATATCACTTCTGCTTTACGTCTCTTTGTCGATTCATACACACACACACACACTGGGACGAGAAACGTCATAATTCTTTGAAAGATATTTCTTTTACAAAGCATGTAACATTTTTTTTCAAAAGTCGCATTTGCGAGTTGCAAATTGATTAAATGGTAATTAAATTGATCAGATGGTATTGAGTGAATGCCGACTGGTATTTTGCCGCTGAAAGATGTGCGACAATTTGTCGAGTTGAAATTTATTCTTTTCAATACGGCCGCCTTTTATCTCGACACCGCTTTGAGCGGCGCTTCTCTCGAGAGCACTTGTACGACTTTGGTGGAACGTAGATTTTTCTCGAGCTCTTCAAAATACACAACCGTTTACGGCTCACATGGATGACTTCATTGTTGCTGCGGAAATTTCTTGAAAAAAAAACAAGCCATTTTTTTCAGATTTGGAAATAAATTGCACCGGGTCGTAATCTGGTCGTATAAGGAAGCGACTCGAAGTCGTAAATTTCGGCCATTTTGCAAAAGTGTGTTGCCGACGCGTTCTCTCGGATTCATCGAGAACGTCTACTTGGCGTTGTCGCACTGCGACGATTTTGTTTCTCCCAAGGAATGAAACGTGTCAAAAAACGACAATGTCTCTCTTTCGCTGTATTCAAGCGTCATTTTTTCGAACACTTATCAATCGCGTTTATCGTAGCAGTTCGCGCGCTACTGCTGTGTGTGGATCAATTGTCGGAAGCTTTACAAACACACGCAAGCCCCGGTGTCAAACAAAAAAAAAAAAAAAAAAAACGAAGAAGCCTTTGTCACGACGTCTAATTCGCTGAACGCACGTAAAATAGCGGAAATCACGTAAATGCGACGTAACGAAAATGTCATTGATTGATCATTGACTTATCGGTAAGACAGTTAGTCTGGCCGATTTGCTCTCAACGATATAGAAAGATGTGCGACTTCTTTTTATCGAAACCGAAGGCGACAGAATTTTTAACACGCGCGTTGCTCTTTTGTGTTGTAACAATTTCTGTGTGTGTAACGAGCTTTGCAACACGTGCTGTATAAAAAGTATTAAAACAAGAAGCGACAAGAAGACGGTATTGCTCGCGATGCGATATTCCTTTTAACGTCATCATCGTTTTCGACCGAGGCGCATAAATAAGCTCCGATAGATAACACGCGCGTAACGAAGATTACTAAAAATAGGAAGAGAGAGGCGTTTTTTTCTCAAGTCGCTTACGCGATACGTATGTAATCGATCGTACGAGTCGACCGGTCAAATATGGAGATAAGAAGGCGCGCAATTGCGTACGAAGTTTTCGCGCGAAAGAAGTTATCGTCGTGGCTAACCGATAACAAATTTTGCAAGAACGACCTTGGGCGCAGAAAAACAGCGCAGTACATATATGCCGATGTATTATTTGACATATAATTGTTTAATAACATCGATATATAAAGTCGTTGTAAAAAAAAAAAAAGAAACTTTGGTGACATTCTCGCGTCGTTTTATTGCGCACTGCGATTACATCTCTGTGTAAAGAAAATAAACTTTTCCGCGCGTATGTACCAGAGTTTGTTTTCAGAGGTTTGAGATTCCGTTGATGAGTATTTACAGCGATATTGTTGCGTTATGGCGGAGAAATTCGCGTGGGAACGTAATAAAAAAAATAATCTGCATATAAGTTTGTAGCGTACCTTTTCCGCACACGTGGAAATTTCTCTCCGGCATCTTGTAATTGATAAACGACTGACTGAATATATTATACAAGTTTGGAAAGGTGGAAAATTCTCTTTTTCCTTTATATAAATATATATTTTATACATCTAAATATTTATAATATATATAAATTATTTACATAAATAACATATATCCACACACAAATAAGAAAGATATAAATATTTATCTATATACAATTTTATATATATATATATATATATGTAATATGTATGTGTAAGAATAGAAGGGACTTTTCAACCCTTTCATAACTTTCAGCGGACTTCGCGGAGTTGACATCGACCGTGCGAAATGTCTCGAAAAACTCGCTCCGTGTCTAAAAATCTACAAACTCTCACTTGTCTTTTCGGCAATCTTATTTATCTCGCGGAACCGAATATACGTATGAGAGGGCGCGCGATTATGTCTCTTTTCTTTCTTCAATGATAGAGGAATAAGAGATTGGCTGAGTTGATGGACGCGCGCGGAATAATTACCGGTCGCGGTGTTAATATATTCTTTCGGGATATATTTATACGCGGACAAACGATTCCGCGCATAAATAATTCGACGTAATTGCCCGTGACATCCTTGGGCAGCGCTCGTTACTCTCTTATCTTGCGCCGCTCGCTTATGCGAAGCGCGTTACAATGCGCGTCGTCCTCTCGGCATTCGTCTCGTTGCAGGAAATGAATTTTTTTTTTTTTCTACTTTCCCACGTATCCTCAGGTGTGTCGTTTCGAGGGATCGATACGGTCGGATCGCGATACGCGAGCAGCGCACAACGCGCCGCCCGGTTCCGCCCGATGCATCGCGGACTTTATCGCGGATCGATGATAATTGCGTGTGGATATACGTGTGCGTGCGTGTGTGTGTGTGTACACCGTGTCCGACTCGAAGCGGATTACCGTTACCGCGCGTTTGCGATTTTTTACGCGCGCTGTGTAAAAATTTATAATATCGCGATATCAAGAGCGGGAGATAGGAAAATGCGTTATGCAACGGCGGGTTATTACGAATGGATTACGACGCGTCGTCTTCGTGCGGCGCGGAGAAATTGCGGGAACATATTCCAGAGACGTTTTATTGCAGGATCGCAACATAGCGTAGGAGAATGATGCGCGTTCTTATCAGATTGCAACGATAAAATGGATGTTTACCTATCTAGAAAGGCCGCGGTGTAGTGATCGCGTACGCAGTTACGTTGCAACAGGGTTTGTTTGATATTAACAATGCGGCAATTGCGTGCGCGATCGAGATGGCATAAAAAAAATATGCGCGCGATGAAGATTTATCACAAACAAGCCAAGGGCGTCTGAAACGCAACGGGTGATTTCTCGCGCGAAAATAAGTCGCGAGGAGATAAGATATTTTTTTTTTTCATGCGCGATACAATGCGCCGCAATTTGCAAGATTACCGCCGCGGTGAATTATACCCCCCGAAAGGGGGGTAATTTCGTGCGCGCTTCATTTTCAAGAAAAAAACTTCCCTGATCGTTATCTCCATTGAATTAATTGAGATTCCCAGATAGAGAAAATTTCCCGAGGTTTTCATCAGAACGCTTTCTCGTTACGGTACGGCTTTTGAATAAGAAGATTCTCGACGAGAGCGTTGATAACGCTCGAGTTCCTTCTGTTGCGCGAATCCGCGACAACCGAACGACGCTCTGTCTCGTGTTATGCGGTCGCGCACGTCGATAACACACACGCGCGCGGCAACGTGCGTGCGTGTACGCACACACCGCGGCAAAGACCTCCGTTTCGCATCGCCGGCCTCTCGCCGAGCTGACCAAGAGAGTTTGTCGAACTCGTGTGGTTGCGAATGCGAATCACAGAGAACGTATCGAAGCTATTTCTCTCATCCCCTCTACGTACGTAAATCTTTTGATAATCGACCTTCGTTATTTCTGAAATATCGATACCGAGCGGTTAAAAACATGGAGGTATAACTGTTTTCATCGAATAACATACGAAGCAGCGTTCAATCGCGGACTCGTCTTGAACGATAGGGGACGTACACGCTCTCTACACCAGCACCTCTTGTAATTTTTCTTTTTCTTTTTAATTCTCTGTCTTCGTCGTCACGTATTTCCTCTTCACGTAGCGACCTTAACCCACGTTGAGTCATCCCCGCCGTGAGTTTATAATTTTATTACGTGACTCGGCTATATCGGCAAGAGACTATCGGTCGGCGAAAGGGAACGGACCAACATCGAGAAACTCTTGGGCGAACCGAGAGCTCGACTCCGTGACTTTTTAGCACCTCGATTCTACTTTACAAGCAGAAGTGTTTTTTTTTTTTTTCACGACAGTCCTCGAACACGTTGTTTTCTCGATCAAGGAAAAATCCGTCGAGTCTTTGTCGTTCTCTTTCGTGTTATTTTTCCCACGAGAAAAGACAAAAAACTGTCAAAGCGCTTTTTCTTTCGCTCCGGTCGCGCGAACCAGCTCGGCGAGTAAATTAAGTCGTTAACTACGACGAGAGCCGTGCGACAGCAAAACGTCGTCGTCGTCGTCGTCGGCGGCGGATGACGTACTCCTCTCCTCTTCGCATTTCGTTATCTTATTTCTTGCGCATACAAGTTTATCGGTTCCGAGTTTCAGGGCGGCTCTCTAACGAGAGAGCTTTGGCCGCGTGAGAGACGAGCCCTCGTTTCAATCGTCCCCGCCGCTCCTCGTTCGTTTTTCTTTGCTCGAACCTAGCACAATGTAGCGGTAACCCGGTTTCCTGGCAATAGAGTCTCCGGTGCTCGATACCAAGTATGGTGCAAGCGCGTTCGACCAGTTCTATTAATAACGACGAAGAATCTGTTTTTGACGCAACGCTGAACACGTCAGAAATGTGTTAAAAAAAAAAAATTTTCTTTATGGATAAAATAAAATATCAAAATTTCTATAGAAAATTTAAAAGCAGTTA